ACGGACAGTAGAATTACTATACAGAGATATACTTGGGCCTAAATTAACTACTTCCCTATTACTATGTGGGTTCCACACAGGACTCCAGGTAAGTGTTCCCACCCAACACAGCATGATTTTATATTATCTGAACACTGTGGACAGTACACCTCTTCCAACGCAACATTTTTTGCCCACTATTATATAGGAAAAAATGTATGTAATGGCTATTTTTGTGGCCTACTTTTCAAGGAATGATACCCTGAGACAGGTCTCCTTGCATCTAAGCCCATGTATACTGTGTTCCAATGATGATCTAGACTTGCCCTCTGACTCTGTGGCCAATGGGACATCAGTAAGTGCAATGCATATATAGGTTCAGAAAGTCCTTCCTCACTGTTGCTTGGCCATTTGGATACAGGAACATTGTGAAGAGGCCTGGGGCTAATCAGAAGAGGACAAGAGTCAGCACAAATTGTCAGACATTACACCACCAGCCTCAGCACGTGGATAGAGTCCTATCTGTGATCCAAGCAACGCCAGCATAAGAACTGCCCAGCAGAGCCCAACCCAAAAGCACATTCACAGAATATCAAGAAAAAAATTTAAAAGTTTGTTTTGTGAAGCTATTAAGTTTCAATTGGCTTCTTATACAACAAATACTGATATATCTAATCCCCTAAAACTCAATGTTTTTAACAAGATCATGTGGGGCAGAAAGCCTTCAATGTCTTTTTTTTTCTTTTTTCGTTTTGAGACAGGGTCTCCCTATGCAGTTTAGGATGGCCTGAACTCACTTTGTAGCCCAGGCTGGTCTCAAAATTTGCTACGATCCTTCTGCCTCAGCCTTGCAAGTGCTGGGATTACAGGTGTCTGCCACCACGCCCGGCTAAGCCTTCAATGTCTTGTCAAATACAATCAGCAGAACTTCACAAAAACATGTGCACTTGAAAAATCACACTCAGTGGCAACTGCATAGCTTCAGTGAGGTGACTGGGGCTAACAGAGGCCGTGTAAACTCCAAAAGCAATTGTCTGCACATTAGTAAATTATGCTTTAAGGTTTTTTACATCACACAAAAACTTTTTACAAAATGTAAGTCACCAAAAGGAGCTATTACTTGTGAGCATTATAGTGTAATTTACTTACATTTTTAAACATTGGTTTGGAGTAGAAGTATGATGCAGTCTAATTCTCCCATTTTGAGTAATGCAGAATAGTCTACAATTTTCCTGTAAAATTTATCATTATCAGAACAGGTTACCGCTGCATGGTGGCACATGCCTATAATCCCACCTCTTGGGAGGCTGAGGCAGGCAAAAAACTGTCCCAAAAAACACAGATCAGTGACATTAAGTGGGAAAAACATTATTCACCTTGTAAAGTCCCATAAACCACAGACTATTTTGGGGATTTAAAAAAAAGAGGGCTACTTACGGCTTTTTTTTTTTTTTGACATAGGGTCTTACCATGTAGCCCAGGCTGGCCTTGAACTCACTCCTGCCTCAGCCTCCCCGAGTGCAGGTATTACAGGTGTATGCCACCAGGCCCTGCAAGGCTACATTTTAAAGCAATGTCTGTTTTAAGTTGACTTCTGTGTTACAAAAATAACTGCAAAAAATAAATACTTATTTTGACTTAATTGTGGCAAAATGAATAGCATTAACCATAAAGTCAGCTAACAAACACTGAAAAGCTTGTGAACCCGGGCAGGTCACGGCTCCTAGAACCCAGTTTTTAAAATTTTTCTTGGCAAGCCTTTCCCTCAAGGGCCAGGACAGCGGGAGCATGAGCGTAGACTCCAGACGACAGACCCGAGACAGCGAACACACTGGGCTGAAGACCTCTCCAGGAAGACCGTTACTTCTCCAGGCGGGGCCACGCCTAGCCCTGTCCAGCGGGTGGCGCGCCGAGGATCCCGCCCACCTCCCAACACCATCCAGTGTGTGGCGGCTACTGGGCCAAGGGGTGCTGAACACACCTCGCGCAGTCGTGCCAGGGTCGCGCGGCTAGGCTCCTCCCAACGACTAGTGCCAGAGGGGCGTTCCCTCAGGGAGGGCTTCTGGTCTAGGGCGCGCCCCCTCGAACGCTGCCGCACCGGCTCAACCCGAGAGACCAAGGGCCGGTACCCCGATCTCCGTTCCGGACTTGCTTGAGAAGCCCGGGGGGGACCCCAGCGGATTCCACCCGGCGCTGGTGGCGGGCCACACGAAGGCAAGCCAGGAGGCTGGGTGTGCGCCGCATCGGCATGGCCCCAGGGACCGGGCACACGCGCAGCGGGCCCGCACGCCGGGGTGCGAAGACGCCGCCCC